TTAAAAAATTTTCTCTTCATATTCTGTAGAGACTCAAAGTTTAACATATCAATACGTGATGGAAAATACCTGAAGGAAAAGAAATTGTACCTCTGTCATATTACTTTTTAATCCACAAATCACAGAAAGTAAAAGTAACCTTTCTTCCTAAAAAAAAAGAAATTTGAGTCTATAAAAATGTTACTGTGTTTCTAATGTGCTCCTCAGTAGGAAAAAAAGATATAGGGTGAAGAAAATCTCTGAGCAGTAGAAAAACAATTATTGTGGCACTGTTTATTTGAAGCATTTGTTTTAAAGATTGAAATATCAAGAAATGATTTTTTTTGCTGTGAATTAGCAAATTAAAAGTTTGAATTGTATCTATAAAATTGCTATTGAATATGTTATATTCCTTATTAATTGATTTGATATGCTTCTTTATCATTTTAGGACCAGCTTAAACTATTATATTCTATTGGAGCGAATGTTTCTGCTGAGAAGTAAGCATAGTTTTATAAATTTGTTTTGCCTACTCACTAGTTGATTGATTGTTGAATTTATTCAATACTTACTCTTGAAGAATTTTTTAGTACTAAGTGATTTGGTAAGTGTTCTTGATAAAATTATTAAGATATGAACTTGTATAGCAAAAAACTCAAGATCTAATGGAGTTGAAAGATGTGTGAATAAGATTAATATAACCCAGAGTACAGCGCCATTCCCAATATTGGTACTACTTGTGGTGGAGACTTTATAGAGGCTTCACAAGATGTTGGTATTTGCAGTGAGGCCTAAAGAATGAGGAGACTTTTGCAAGAATAGAATCTTCCATGAAATTGAAAAGGAAACAATCCTCCCAAAATCATTCCTGGAGGCAAGTATTATATTGATACCAAAACCAGGGAAAGATACAACTAAGAAAGAGAACTACAGGTGAATCTCCCTCATGAACATAGATGCAAAAATCCTCAATAAAATCCTAGCAAATAGAATACAGCAAATCATCAAGAAGACCATACACCATGACCAGGTAGGATTCATCCCAGGGATGCAAGGATG